ATTGGGGCGGGGATATTCAATTAAGGCTACACTACAAAATTATATTAAAAAAAAAAAAGAAAAAAGAAAAAAGAAAATAATAAATAAATAAAAAATTTAAATATAATTATTAAACCACTACACGTTTTTGACTTTCTGGACTAAATTTCTCTTTCAAAATTTTCACGTCACCATTCAAAACACGTTTTTTATTATTAGCTTTAGCAATAAGTTCATCGATAAGAATTTTATTCTCAGGTGTTAATTGAGAATAATCAATCGTTTTATAAATTTGAGACATTTGCTCAAGAATAGTTAAAAGTTGATTAGGAAGCCATGTGACAATGGGTGAACCACTAACGAAATCAAAGAAAATGTAAATAAAATATTAAACGAGAATTAAAGATAGAAAAAAAAGGAGAATAAACTTTTTATTATTTACCCTGTGGCAACAGGATGGGTAGTATTTTTAATTATATATTCTTTGGTAAAATTCCAATGACGATAACGGAATGCAATGATTTTATCCAAATTCGCTAGGTAAAGAGCTATAAAATAAAAATATCGAAAAAAAATTAACTATAAATAACCGAGACATTTATAAATGTATATATATATATATATATTTACCTGTACTATTTGCATCCTGTTTAATATTATAATTGAAAATATGTAAACATTATAAATGAATAAATGAATGCTTTTTTTTAAAAAAAAAATAATAATAATAATAATTATTATAACCTGAGTAGCAAATCCTCGAACATTAACTTCTTCGGCACGTCTTTGAACAAAATCCAAAAATTCTTTATGATTTATTGGCCGATATCTTCTGAAATCCTTCAATACCTATTTAAAATATTTAAATTAATAATTTTTTTTTTTTTTCTAACTTTTATGATGCTTATAAAATTATTTTTTTTTCACTTGCTTCTGTGAGTGGATTTTTTGGCAATTTAGATGTAATTTGTAATAAATTATCCATGCATGGAATCATTGAATCATTTGCTCCCGATTCACCTATATAAAATATCATAAATGAAATGATTATTTTTAAAATTATTTTTTACTGAATTTTTTTATCTTAATAAATAAAATAAAAAAAACAAGAATCTTTGATATTACGGTACTTGCCTCGATAAAAAAGTGGTTCTTCTGACACGCCTTCATATATGATACCTAAATTAAGATAAAAATTTCAAATAAAATGTTAAATTAATCAGTTAATATTAAACTATAAATGTTAAATTAGTTAAAAATTAACTTATAATTGTTAACCTTTTGGAAACATTGGTTGATTTTTAGATCCCATAATAAAAGTACGAAATTTTAAATAATCATCGGGATTTGATCTTTCCCACATTGTTTTCATTTCGGTATTTATTAAAGTCATCGTTTCATTAAGTTTACTGAGTGAATTATTGAATCTAGTACGATCCTTTATAAAATAAAATAAAATAATATATATATATATTATTATTACTAAATTATTATAATAAATTATAACAGTAATAGAATTATTATAATAATAATAATAATAACTCTACATTTTTTTCAACTGAGTCAAGTGTTTCCATTGTCCACCGAACCAACGATGGCGAATTCGCCACCATTGTCACGTGAACAAGAATGAATCCTTTCTCCGATAAAATACCCGAGAATTCGCGAATAAGATTCAAATTAGAATAAACAATGGGTTTTGAAGGATCCACGCGTCGATAATTGTATAAACTATAATAGATATTAGTATGGTTTAACGAATTTGGGGATGCAATTCAGTAACAAATATACATATATATATCTCTCT